AAAACAGAAGGCAACCTGGACTTATACATGCGTTCTTTGGTTACATTGACGAAGCTGTCTATCCACAGACTACAATAGCGATGATGTGCACGCCATACTTGACTCGGATGAGGAAGCGCAGCACTAAGTATATATCTTTTTTAGATTGGTAACCTTTGATGTTACCGTGTGGCACATGATGAACACTTCCACATCAGAAACGAAGGGAATGGCCTACACAGTTCAAGACGTAGAACAGTCTCAGGTGAGTACACAGAAGCCCCATGGACACAGTGGATCTGGCTGACTAGTTATATAGCAGCACTTCGTCGTCAGTAATACCTTTCCGATCTTGCCAAGCAGCTTGTCCCGGTTATGGACGATTGTCAGTTGGCCGATGATTATCCTATGAGAGCAGGAAGGTTGAAGAAACAGACAGGATAACTATCGAGAAGAGGCACCATGCCACATGTCTCTTCATATCGGACTTATCCAGTGCTGAAACAAGCCATACGATACTTTCCCGATCGCTCAGGAAACATGTTACGAAGCTCCAGATCGCGGAGAAAGCTACTTGATCCAACTAGTATACTTGCTCGTGATCACGGTATCTCTTTGGGCTCTTCCTCTTTCGCAAACCCATTAGACGACCCAAGCCTTCATGGCACCAGTGCGTTCCGATAACCTGAACAGCTGGGAACGATCGCAAGGAGTGATTGTCTGTCTGGACACAACAGCAACTACGCGGTCTGGTTCATGTCGGCCACGCCCTACCCCGCCTTCCAAGACAAAAATGCAGAGCTCATGACCCTCACTGAAACAGAAACCTGGTGGAGTGATTCCAACGTCGCGTTAATTTCAACACGCCTCCACAACCTGGGTAAGAGGATCTCCAGGTTGTCTCAATGGAAAGAAAGCATCCCATAACAGCCGGCGTGAGGCACACCATGGGCTTCTAATGATATCCGACTGCACTAGATGATGAAGTGTAGACATCACCGGCTTCACGGTGTGTGTGGGACGAAAGTGATATTGGTCAAATGCAGGGCTGCTTGCTTCAAGCCAAGTCACATGTCTCTGATCACAGAACTGTCTCCTGAACCGACATGCTCCCAAGGCACTGGGCTCCGTACTGTGATCGTCCAGAGGTGTCTGCTCCTGAAATCCGTTCACCTCATGTTGTTGGCTCCCTTTGGTATCTCCATGAGATAAAATCCTATGCAATCATTCAAAGCCATGGGGTTGGCCACTTCATGTGGCCATTCGTTGACTGGTTTGGCTGCTGCTGGACAACCCGGGAATTTGCTTTCTGGACATCATGACCTTACGTTGAATGAACGGATCGTTCGTTCCACTAACTCAAACTGAACCCACTGATGTATAATTGCATCCGCAGTCAATCTTCACCTGCACAGAATGACCAAAAACTCCAGCTGAAATCCCATAATTCAGGGAGACTTGGATACAGTCAAAAGCCGTCAATCCCAAAAAAGCCAAATGTCGCAGGACTTACAAACCCGAAGACGGAGGCTGAGAAGAACGCAATGGCAATGGAAGTGGGTTCTTACTATTACCACTGACAGCTCATTTCTCTGGACAAATGTCTACCCAATGACCAAGATATATAAGATGATAATACGGAGAACGATACGACCGAGCTGCCAGTTTCAGGACTTTGATTTCCTTGATGATTCCACGAAACGTGGCATCGCCTCGAGAAGCTGGTAGCAAGCCAAGGTGTACAAGTTGCCAATCGACCGACCGCGCTGGCCGAATCACTTGGTACGATTATTTCCAGATGGGAGAATGAAAGCTACGCCTTCGACTGAGTGGAGTTGAGTTCCAATCGAAGAAAAGACTGGTAAGCCAGAAGATCTTTGGCGTTCCAAGAAAAGTACAATAGACATGCACACGGCGAAGCAGAAGTCCACTGTGGAGTTACATTTACCCTATCTTCTCTGAATGGGATCACACTATTCCCATCCAGGTATTGGGGGAAATATCAGCGCCATGGCAATGGCCCCTGCGGGCTTTTGCGGGGTGGTCGGTGGCTGTAAGGACTGCCGGTCACTAGAGTTCAACTCTCTCATGCGCCCGCACGAAATTATCTGCATATTGTCTTGACGACAAGAGCACTCCGCGCCTGAGGGAACCCCTCGCTGCCGGGATGGTGTCTGGATCTACTGTGCTGTTGACTTTTGAGGATCTGCGGTCTTTACTGTCAATCAATCAAACGGCTGATATGCGTCGGGAAATCACCGACGAAGTATCTTTTAAGGAAGGACAAGAAAGCGTGAACTCATAGCTCATCTCTCAATATGGGCTTTTGTACGACAGCAAAGACTGAGGTACTTGACCCAAATCTTCTAAATCCCGGTTCAAACAAAATAATCTCTAAAAGGGTTGTGTGTTTTGAAGCCGCTTCGAGGAAAGGTAACCTTTATGACACTTCAGTCAACGAAGATGGTCAGATAGACCGTTTTGCTAAGTCTTTGGCCAAAATGGAGAAGTGTCTGCGGAATGCGCCCATGACTACAACTGAAGAAGCATGATTGCAAGATACCAATGATCAGGACCAATACTTTGCCCAGCCGTCCAGGGTCATAGAAGTTCTCCAGCATTCGGCCCGCGCCACACTCTATTGCCCAGTATCACTGCAGCCAAGATGTACGAACAAACCCGGCCAGATGGAGCAGTTCCACTTCAACGCCGAATGTAGCGCACACAAGAAGACTGTCTCTGCTAACTTGGGCTAGCAGTCTACTTCGGTCTCGTTTATCGCACCTAACGACGAATCCCAAATACATCGGCCCTGAAGAGCGCCATGGCATCTAACATTGAAACGCACACACACGATCTTCATATATGTGTCTCAAAATCGACGTCTTCACTCTGGCCATGAGTAGAGAGGCTGTACATGTTGCAGTTCAGCTTGCGAACCCATCTACTTGCACACTTGGAATTCTGGTTGAACTCCTCTCTCAAAGCAAGGGGGGAGGGTTGGATCAACAAGCTCTGCCCGATTGCTGTACTTTCTATCGACAGGAATAGATGATGATCTACCAGCTGGCTATTCAGGGGTAGCTGGTCGAGCAACAGAGCCAACGGGGCCGTCCTAGCTCTATTTCCAAATTCCAGAGTTGAAACCGAATTGGAATTGCGTTGGCTGCTGGGATCTATGAAGATCTATATACAGGGGCTTGTAGAACATGGAACTAAAAGCCCAGCCCAGCGATTTGAGAGCCAAACACAATTTAGTCCCGCGGAAACGCAAGAATATGGAAGTAGGTCCGATGACGTGCATCTCCAAAATGACAAGCACTATCCAAAGCCAAGACCTCGGATGGAGAAGCAAGTACCAACAATGGTCCGGATGTCAAAGGGAATTGGAAGCAGGAAGAAATGTCTCCAAGCCCAATCCGATCAATCGGCCTTTCCAGTGCCGCTGAAGTTTCCAATACAGTCTGAAGGATGTAACGGACTACACCTCAGCGAGAGATCAATTGTGTATTTATACTAGTCCGGCTTGCTGTTCAGTAGTATGAAGCTGCACTACTGCGTTCGTCAAGGTCTCGCTCTGAATGTTCTTGAAAGCACCAGGTGACGAATGAGGTCGTGACACAACTACGAGTAATGCTGAACATGTGTGCAAGATCATTGCAACCGGAAAATTGTGGGCGGATCCGTCGGGTTGTTGGGAGTCCCTGCTATTTCGCAGACAGTCGCCGAAAGTGCTACGGAGGGGGCGCAGAAAGTGACTGAATTTCGAATCTGCCATACACGGCATATTGCCGTTGACTCCCTCAATTATCACGAGCATGTCGAAGTGTCCACCGGTGCTTGGTTTTGTCATACGCTTTTAGGCAATACCTACCAACGGATGCAATGCGTGGAGTGATTGAAGACTCCCCTCTTAGACTCTCGTTTAAAATTGTCAGCAGTTCAAGGAATGGTTACGATTCAAATTGAAGAAGCAGAGTCTGGTGTACCAGTTCAAGGCATTGTGGTGCTCGGTCTTCAGTAAGTTCAAGGGATCATCCAGATGCAGAGAAAATTCCCGTAAGGTGTGGGAAGGATGCGTCAGTATGGTACCGGAAGCTTCGAAGCAAGGGCGCGCAAGAAGGTGAATCTTCCAGGAGAAAACTATGTCTTCAGCTCTCACACAACAACTAAGGAGGCATTCTCTGACCTGAAGATGTGCTGACACCACCTTGTGTGCGAAGAAGCCATGGATTCTGTGGCCTTTGAAACGTGCATGTCCAGTCACAAGAACCATTATCCCGTGGCACAGCGATAGATCGATCCGCCTCAGAGGGCTGGGAGGTACGGGGCAGGCAGGATGGATGAGATGGGATGCTATTGCATCCGTCATGGATATGGACAAGGACAGGCATCGCGGATATCTTGCAACGCGCATTTCACTATTCCACCGCTACCGTACTGGCGAGGACGGAGTTGCTAGCTGCATGGCTGGATTTCCTGTTAATTTGGCTCATCGGGTCGCTATAACAATTGATTGTGAGGAGTTACGTGACGCGCGCGAGAACTTGTCGACGCTGATTCTCCGGGCAGAATGATTCGACAAAGCATCTGCTGCCATTCGATCGCGCTCCCGAACGTCGACGCGGACGGCCATGGTGCTACCGTTTACCTGGCCCGATCATCAGTACACCTCAAACTCACTATACATCAATTTACGGCGAGGAATGAGGAGATTAAGACTGTTTCACGCGACCTCAATATAGATGACGCGCTTTATAATCATGTCCTGCCCTTGAACTCATACAGGCACGATCAGGTCAGCAGAAGGAAGATCGCGACGGGGCTTATGTGATAGTCGCCTGCGCACTTCGGCCTCAGCTTATTTGAGCTCCAGAGCGTTCTCCAGTCTGCTCGGACCGAAGCAGCGGAAAATAAGGCCGCTGTCTGAAAATTGCCTTGCAGCATCTTCACAACATTTGTTCCAATTACACTCAACACGTCATATTTACAGTCAGACTACCCGGTCAACAGAAAGTACGATGGAGAGTGCATTCTGCACTCGCTGGATTCATCCTCCATTGAGTATATCTCGTCGGACGAGATTTCAGTTAAATCGATATGTGTCCAGCTCCTTGCAGTACAACGACGATGACAACAAAACGTCCAGTTGCACCGCAACAGAAACCTGCTTGGTCATCATTGTTTCGCAATATGCCGGATCCTCAACTCCAAGCGAGGAGATCAGGATGATTCAGACGCTACAGTCCAGGGAACATCACTGCCAGGTATGAACTCACTTAACTCCATTTCCAAGACGAAGATTATTGACAACTACCGTAGACTGAACAGAACCAATCCTACCACCCGTGAGACCTAGCGTTGAGACGGAAAGAATACCGCCTCCAGAAAATGCGGAGCTGGCGCTAAAGCTCAGCACAGTTTCCGGTTCGGACTGGACAGCTTGGCTTTCAACCATCTGATCGTCGTCTTACCGCAGGCTCCCGGCTTTGGGGCTCTGCAAAAGACTCACGGATGATAATGAAAGAGACATCTACAATTGTACGACATTCTCGGTTCATTGACACATTCAGCAACATCTGCCGATGGGCCAGGGCCGGAGTCCGAGGTCCCAACTCACTACAAATGGACGTTCTAGCACTCAAAGGGCGGAAAAGCAGTGGTATTCAACTGATTACGATGCCTATCCCTAATACTTCGTCCTTATGAAGCCTTATCATCCGCATATCTAACGGGTTTGTGTGTGAATACGCCGTCGAATCTGAGATACTTGTCATATTATGTTTGCGTTGAAATTGTCTATATTCAAAACATTATGCTCTGGAGAACAGGTTGACACCATGGTGGCCCCTTATCGTGTGATACCTGAATCAGTGTCTGTGCCAGAAAAGGGATCCCACTTATATTCATAATGTTACGGCTATTAGTGAGATCGTGCCCAGCAGGACATCACAGGAATGGAACATCTCCGTCTCCAGAGCGCCCATCATACGAGGAATGGTCTGCCCGAGCCTGGTCCGGTCTGGCACTGTTCGTCTGAATATATGATCATGGGCCCAGAACGCTATGCCAGAAATGCACGCCGAATCAGGGCTATACTTGGCTAGAACGATACTATATACTGACTCCATGTCCGAGTCGCAGAGAGAATAGCCAGGGAGTTACTGTGGCTCCAGAGACATTCAACCACACGATTCAAGCACAAGACGATGTGTGGCATAGCACCATCGCGACCAAATGGCTCTTAACACAAACAGACGATGTATGTGCACAGCAAAATGGTCTCTATACTCAGATCTTCTTCAACAGCCGCCCGCATGTAAGCAACCGTCTACTCAATTGAGCTGTTTGGCTGCTGCGAGAGGCATGGTAACAAATTATCATCCTAAGCTCCTGTGTTCTGCTCTGAGATTCCGGACATGAAGCTGCCTGATTGGGTAGTCTACTCTTCCATCACCAACGAATGGGTTGCTGTGTCGGGCTGTTTTCCTCGGAGGGGAGATGGCGCAGGCCGTGCCTGTTGATGATGAGGCCATATTATAATCTTGGCGACTATTGCGCTGCCGTATGTGAGAGTATGGAAATGACACCGCATGCAGTGTATTCAATCGTGGGAAGAGAAATGCGGAAATCCACTATAAATGAATAATATGTCTACAAAATGCCGTTGACGGGGACCGAAGGCCAACAAGAAGTCACCCAGCATGATACTGGGTGTGCTGCGGCGCCAGCAAGCTAACACCGGCACAGCGCACTCGAGAAAGAAACTCTACATGGAGAGACACCAGAAAGCCGAGAAGAAGAGACTCGTCGTGTTCAGAGGGAGATGCTACTCGACGGGAAGAATTGCTCCGTCCAGCAGAAGCCACCATCTGTCGCACAAGAGCAATATGAAAGCTACTCAGTGTGGTCTGGTTGTGGGTCCTTTTATGTCCGCTATGTTAGTCTCAGAACTGATACCGAAAGCTCAAGCCATGAAACCATTGATGCGGTGGAATGGTAACACCAAATCAATAACAATGCAACGGGCCCTGAACAGGTACTGGATCTATACCCCGAAACATGCATGGTTGAGAGGAGAACAATGACAACTTCAGTGTGGTTTCCTTGGATATGGTGGAAGACCAAAGGTGTCAAAAGACCTAATTCAACGGGAAGGAACTCAAAAAGCTCAGGATAGATCTGGGTGTCAGCTAGACATCATATGACGTCTTTGCTGCCTACTGAAGGGTGGTATTAGGAGTCATTAGCGGCATTTGGGTGAAGACAACCGATCAAAAGTTGACCCTTGCACGATGCGGGCCGCGCTGATGCTACGGCGGGTGAACCTGGCCGTGACTCTCGGGTTTTCCCTCGTGACACAAATAGAAGTGGCGGTGGCTATTTTCGCAAGAGCCATGTGGACGTCGTGGTTATATCACTGTGCCTGAAGCTTCAACGGCATTTACCGATGTGGAAGATGTTCGACGTCCTGTCAGCCCGAGCAGTGAACAGAACACAAGAGGCATGGTGTGCACAGTGCATCTCGAAGAGGGCTGTAATGCCGGGTTACGAACAGAGAAAGAACGAAGAACTAACGAGGAACATTACACAATAACGATATTAGGAGAGCTTCTCCGAGATGCAACGAAATGGCGCATTTTTCTATGCTTCAGTTTTGCTCCTTGAATATACCGCCCAAGAAAACCCCCTGGTCAGATCCATACCGGGTGGGAACCGGGAAACGAAGAGGAGAAGTACGAGTTAGCTGTTTCGCTTAACTGCTTCCTACTTGGACTTTTACCAATGGAGCACGGAAGTAATCGCGGCAGTATCCTTGCTATTGTTCTTCCTTCAATCGACGCAGCGACCGAAGGCAATGATAGCCAGTGGGCATATATACGGGCACACCAAGGAGTTGAATCGTGTTCATGCAGCTGCCAATTAACCGAGAGCTCGCTGGGAAATTCATCGCTTGGTTACGTTGATCCTAATCAACGTCACTCAGCCGTCGGAAGCGTCGAGCACAATACCAGGCGCTTACTGTCGTGTTGTCGTTCCTCCCGTTCTGTCCTTTGACTCTCAGAGAACATATCCGTGGAGTGGCGATCTCTGTTTCTGGTATTCATCAACATCCACGCGGGACAACATGAAACACCAACAGATGAGATGAATCGAACTACGTGATCATTCTTGCCATAGTGTTGTTCTCACCGATAGAGCAAGATGAGCAAGATGCTCTGGGAAGGGTACTTCCCACCTCGTTCCATTGCTCGTCCCGCTTAATCTCGGCGTCTACTGAGCGGAATGAGCGAACGATGACCTGAAATAGTTCAAGTGTCATATAGATGGCTCCATGGATGGCGGAGCATCTGCTTTGTGTCATCAATGCTAAACGCCAGACTCACGTGGGTATGTCCGGAAACGCTCGCGAATAGAGAATATACTCGAGTGGTACAGCACCTCTATTTCTCCAAATGATCGTGACAAGTCCGAAGGGTACTTCGAATCTCTGAAATTCGCTAGTCACAAGCATCAAATTTGTGGTGGCTTTTGCGTCGGCTGCGCCGGCTGATTGCCGTTGGAACTATGTGACGATTTCAAAAGCATAACTGATAACCCTGAAAGAAGCAAGAGACACGGTCCCTATTTTCACCATCTCCAAATTGTGTTACATATGCAGAAGACATAACTTATTAGGAAGATGCAAACTCGCTATGCCTTCCGGTATGGTTGATCTGTTGGGCTGCGCTACCCAATATGACGGTTGCAAACCTACTGCAGATAGCTTTGCTTGCACGTTGCACTGGATGAAGCATACAGACAGTTCATTTTCTGCCCCTCTCCAGGAACCGAAGCCGGACTTGACGACAAAGGACTGGGACGAAGATCCACAAAGGATTACTCCAATCAATCGGGTTCTCTATTCGCGATTGACGGGTCCTAAAAAGCAGAAGGCGACCATGATTGTTCGCACATATCCGGATATCATCGAATCACCTCTTGTCAGTGGACAAGCTGCTAGTGTGGAATGCAGTGTGAATTTACTCTTCATTTACCTCGCCTCAGACGTGAAGAGAAGTTTGAAGGGCTTTCAGTTTCATCTCCCATAATGAGACCGATATTACAAATGCCCTCAGACTCGGCGATGCTGGGAAAATATCGGTGGTGCGATAAATTTACACCTATTCGAATATATAACGAAGCTGAACAGAAGGAGAAAGACCAGCCAAGGGATGCTGGAGCTCACAGGCTTAGAAATATTCGTCTCTCTCGGGAGCCTTGAAAAACGAAGCGACGGAGAAGGAACAGAAAATATGATCTAAGCATCAACTCGGTCGGTCAGTCACGATCTTCCATGAGGACTCATTGGATAATCTCAAAAAGAGGAAAAAGAAATTGCAGCCGACCATAATGGTCTCGGCTTTGTCCCAAATGGACAGCGACATGGAAGATGCCGAGTGGAGAGGCGAAAGGTTGACAGAAAAGCCGTGGAATTTGACAGATGTTCCATCTCTTTCCAGAACTTGATAGAGAACGTGATGAGAAGAAAATGAACAGTGTCTTCAGTCAGACACCCAATCGAAACCGAGAGATTTATTGGAGACTGATTGATTGATATCAAATCGGAAGAAACTGCACACAGTGGGACGTCTCAAGGTTGATTACAAGATGAGACTGATATGGACGGCACTGAATGAAAAGAGAAAAATCAGCAAAGGGAGGTGCAACCCGTTGACCAAAAATCATGTGGTGGTCTATCCTTCATTCATAACAGGCGACAACCCCAGATAGATATCCAGACGCTCATTAATTTGTTTCGAATCACTGCGGTTGATTGGGGTCATTCGTCAGGTGATGGTTGTTGAAAAAGGCTAAATATAGGAGAAAGACCGCCAAGGGAGGTTGAACCTGACGACCAAAACTCCCTAGTGGACATCTTCGACTCATAACTGCCATCAATCGAACCATGTCGGCCATGTGATTCAAACTGCCGATCGGCCTCCGACACACTGCTATCCTGATATGTCGGTTCAATTTCAACTCCATGGGATAAAGATCATCAAGGACATCGAGAATGGGAGCGCCTGCATTAAAAGGTGCTGGGAAAACATCTTTAGGATGGAGGGGGGATGGAGATGAAAAGCACCGACACAGTCATGACAGGAATTCAAATGGGGAGAAAGTGACAGGTGTTTCTGATACACATAACATCTCATCCCAGACATGTCTTCCACACCGAACATGGGTTCTTTCTAAAGGATTATGAGATGATGGCGATGTTTGTCTTCCCTGCTTGATAATGCCCCACAGAATGGGGAATGCGAGAGTCAGGAAGCAACATAGACTGCGTGCCTACTTTTTCTCCATGGTAGGCGAAATCGATACTGATGGAAAGGAGGATTAAAGGAATGAAGAATGTGGATGAGGAATGTTGCGAAAGCCAAGCGAGATCAGCTTCAAGATTGGCAACAATGAGAGAGTGACAACAGTCATGAGGAGAAGAAACAGCCCTTCACGGTCTGCAAAATAAGGGTCTTCAGAAGAAACTGCGAAAGGGACACCAGCCTCAACCATCAACTTATACTCCAACCAGCAAAAAGAAGAGATGATACCTAGCATCATGACGATGACCAGCAGATGCTCTGGATTCTCCTCTCTTGAATCGTGGTGAATATGGCTTTACTGCAAACAAATTTCTCATCTGGGCCTACGACTTTAGACATTTTGCAAGTATCGGTCTATCAACAGGCGCATACAGCAAGTAAGACTGTCCTGTTCGTGACACTGGGCCCCAATCGAAAATACAAACATCCTCCCAGGGACCGTGGACAAAGTCGGAGACACGGGCGGCAAAGACCCCCACAACTATGCCTTCGACGGAGGAGCGATAGGTAAGGTCACGGACAACGAAGTACGGGCGGCGCTGAACGCTCAGTTCCGCGCTATCGGTAAGGGAAAAGTACCAGCGTACGAGATCCGAGAGATTCGGCAGAAAGCCTGCGGCAGTGCGAATCAGCAGCCGGAAACGTCTATTTACACCGATCACAACGTCACGGTCCCATTCACAGCAGTGATGTCCTCCACACGCGCGAGTCTATCCTCTCTGTTGTTAATGTGTCCTCAATCTGGTATCCTTGCGGAATCGACATTCAGGTGTACCTAAATGTGATTCATTGGATAGGGTCAGATGCTCGAGTACCAGGCTACAAGGTCCTTGACCTGTGCCGAAGAAAGAGATGGATCGGGCAGGTTAATGTTACCTTTGCTATACCCAGATAAAGGTCAGTCTGCTGCATCCTGGTCGGCTCGCTGGGGTAATGAGCCGGAGGGATATTTCATTTGTAGCCATGGCTACTTACATCGCTGAGATTTTGGGCTAGCGACTCGTTTGCATTAAATTTCTGGCTGTGGCGAGGATGGGATTGAGGAGATATCTTTCGGACTATGTGGTCACTTTATTATTGGTCTGGGAGTACGGTGTTAGAAGAGACTATGGACTTGGTTGTGAATAAGATGGTCGGTGCGATGGGTTGAACTATCGATCAGGGATACTCACTGCACTTCAGTGGCGGTCTGGCTTATTATGACCATATCTATTCCCCTTACAGGGACGGATCATGACAGCTGTAATCCATCTTATCCTGACGTACATTCATCGCACTCACACATATTTGGAATAAAGGAAATAACAGAATATTTCAATGGTTCATCTATGTATATACCTATCGTGTACTCGATCATCATAGCTACCAATCATACTTTCTATATAGAATCTTCACCACCCAACTTGCCCCCTCAACCAAAAATACACAAGTTGTAAGTAGTATGTAGTAATGGGATAAGATCAACACCTCCCCCGATAAACATCCACCATCTCCCCCCTCACCCTCCTCGCCAATGGCCACGCCCTACCCAACACCTGCAACGCCCCAACACCCAACTCAATCCTCGCTTTGAGCGACTGTTCCCTCCCTACCCCCGTCTCATCCTCATGCTTTATCGCTAGCGATGAGGGAGGTCCACCCGCTAACGCAGCGACATGGACCACGGCCGCGATGGCGAGACCACAGGTGAAGAACGGCGTTCGGGAGAGGACGGTACTAGGCAGTGTGGCTAGGTTCGAGAGGAGGTCTGCGGCGCGGAGAAGTTTCTGGGAGTGGGTGTTGGAGGCGGGGGAGTCGTGGTGGGGGATGTGGGCTGTTGTTGTGGATAGGGGGAGGGATTGTAGGGTGCGGAGACGGGTGCAGGATGATGATGTTGTCGTTGAGGATGAGGAGGAGGCGAGGGTGCTGGTAGTGGTTGTTGGGTGGTAGGAGGAGAGGCGGATGGTGGAGTGTGGGTGGTGGAGGTAGATTAGGCTTCTATTTTTGCTGTTTAGCCTCGTCTTTTAGTGTGTTGGATTGGGTGGGGAGATGGGGATGACATACAGGTATGTTATCATTAGTGTTTGAAAGACCATTTCGTCGACGGTGGCGGTGTCATGTTCTGGGAGGGATGAGGGGAGGCGCATTAGGGAGGTGGCGAGACGGGCGTCTAATGTCTCCGTTTGGAGTTCGGTGTCTGGGTCGAGGGATTGTGTGACTTGCAGGACGGCGCGGAGGTCTTGCGTTGCGAGGATGCGGTGGGTGAAGGGGGAGATGTGGTGGAGGTCAAAATTGGGGAGAGTGGTGAGGGTGGCGGATGGTTTGGGGGGTTTGAGTTGCTGGTGGAATGTTAGTTTGAATACAATCGTTGGTTGGTTCACTGGTTATGTGGGGATGGCTTTACCTCGAAATTGTACGCCTTCTCGTCGCAAGGTAGCTGCATTTCGTCGTTGATCCATTTGTAGCTGGGCAGGATGGGCCCGCCGCCAAATGCGGATATGAGCCCTTCCACGACGACGAGTTCCCAGTAGGTGCGTCGCCAGCTTTCTTCGAGGATGGGACTGCCGCGGGAGTGGCTACGTGCGAACGAGGGACTGGTCATGTCGAGGTGGCATGCTAATTGGATCGCCTCTTTGAGGAGTTTCCGGGCGGTCTCTTCATGTCCGTAAGAGTGCTCGAGGATGGCGAGGAGGAGTAGTCCCTGGACTCTGAATCCGTCGTTTGGGGCGGAAAGGGCCGTGTAGGCGGGTGCTCGGAAGGCGTCGCTGAATCCAGGCTGGGGATAGTAGTGGCTGCCGATGTAGCGCATGATATGCGTGATGTATGCTGGGATGTGCTGGCAGAGTGACGAAGCAAGACTGCGCCTCGGCAGGAGGATGGGATGCGAGCGATGAAAGTGGTGGTAGTAGAGCTGGATCATGGCATCGTGGGCGAGAGGTTCAGACTCGGCCACTGCGGGTGTGTATGCTGGTGGCGATGGAGGCAGGTCCTGGATAGGATCGGAGTGTACATCGTTGAGGTCGATGTTGGGGTCCAGGCTGAGGAACTCTGGCTGGGTTGGTTAGTATGACGTTCGTGTTAGTGGATTGAGAGGCATACATCTAGGTCAATGGTGTTGTTGAGCCAAGTGGTAAAGTCTGGTAGGAGATCGACATCGCCCGGGGGTGGATCAGGACTAGATCTATTCCGCAAGCCGCGCCGTGAACGAACATAGCGACAGTCACTGTTACTATTGTGGCAGCGAGTGCAGATGGGCATGCGAGCGTCGCATTTGACATGGCGACGACGACAAGGTATACAAGCGAGGGGAGAGGGTCGGTGGTCGGCCATGATGGTGATTGTGTATGCACGAGCCAAGTGCAGGGTAAAGGGAGGCCATTGAAGGATATACTATTTACAATGTATGGAGGATTGGTGGCATGGAATGATCGGACTCCATCGAGGCTGATTCCCGAGTTCTGGAATCAGGCCTGCATGCCGAGATCCCCGAGGTTCGGGGACCATCACCAGCCCTGATCATTTGCAGACTTCGCCTAGGAGTATGTATGCTGGCAGTGACATTTCGATCGACTCAGCATGTAGTCAGTGATATTATTCGATAATCCCCAGTGAATCTGCATGATGTGAACACGGCTACATCGTACCAGCTAGCCACTGCCAGGGACAAACCATACAGAACTCGAGGGGTTCGCCCGAGCAAGGCCTAGTGTGGAGAGGCCGCTGCAAGATACGGCGGGTCGCCGGTGTACGTTTAGTGGAACAGAGGTGTATTTATTTGATGCAGGTGTTCCCCGACTGAAGGAAAGGACCCGAGAAACCGGATCAGCCGCCTAAACCCGGTGTGTTGGGATGTCACTCATCACACCATCACCTTGTCGATCGACATAGTGTTTGGGGTGTTGGTTGGCTGCAGGCACTGGCGGAGATGTTCGCTGGGTGGTTCCCGATATGCATGTTCTCGGGCTTCACTTGACTAACCCTCGACAGGCACATCTAATCAATGCATTTCCTCCACAATTAATTGTCGGCGAGGTGGTCCGGTGCCACAGTGACACAAGCAAATTAACTTCCTACCCGGTCGGCGACTATCGACGGCGTCTATTCTAGACTCCTTCTTCTCCCCCCTTGGAATCATGTGGGGGAGTGGCTCCGGGTCCCCGTCTGTTTAAATGAGGATCCCGAATCCGGGTCCCTGGACAATCCCCGACTGGCATTGAAATGGTCCCCGACGCCGCGTGGCCGTTGCCAATCATGACTGGTGTGACAATGTCACGGTCACAGCGCAATGCCTTGATGCCCGGAAGTATCTGCAGTAGTCCTCTGCAATCTAATCATCATTAGTACGAGGGGGTGGCTGACTGGCGGGGAATGGAAATGTGGAAATGTGATCCCAGTCGCCGGTCGCAGCTTCATCATCGGAAGAGCCCGCCCGGGATCCCCGTCTGGCTGGGATTGAAGTACATTGTATGGAGTACACTCGGCATTCAATATGTGTTTACTGTATAGTTTGTATAGTATTAGGGTGAAGAATAATGATGAATCCCTGTGACCTGACTGACCCTCTTGCTGACTGATCCCATCTCCACTGGCACTGACGTCTTGGTGTGTCAGTCAGGGTTGCTGCTCAGTCCTTTCCTCCTCCGCAGCACTACTGCAGCTTCACTGCATCACCACCACCTTCCTATCCCAACAAGGAACGTCTTCCCCGAAGTCCGCCTCACTATTGTTGGTCACACCCTTCGTACTCCAATATGATCACTCACATCGTCCAATTTCAGTTCAAAGCCTCTCTCGCCCCCGAAAAGGTCCAGGAGGTGAGTCAGCATCCCTTACGTCATCTTCAATCCACATCACCGTCACCAATGGACTGACTGGTTTCTGGCTAGACATGCGCTCATCTCGTTTCCCTGAAAGACAAGTGTCTACATCCTACCACTGAGCAGCCATACATCAAGTCATTCAAGGCGGGAAAGCAGGATTCGCCGGAGGGTAACCATGTAGGTCATCTCTGCCGAAGTCGTTGCATTGCATGAGATCGACCCTAATAAACGGAGTAGAATGGAATCACCCATGTCTTCGTCATGGAGTTTGAGTCCGATCAGGACAGAGAGTATTATCTCACCAAAGACCCTGCGCATCTAGGCTTCATCAAGACCCTGGACGGTCTGATCGAAAAGTCCCAGGTGGTCGACTTCACTGAAGGGGTCTTCTAACCCTTCCGCGGACATGAAGCCCTCAAATATACTAAACCGGTATGAATACGCAAGAATAGAGACGAATACTTGAATGTACATATGATTCAGCAAGCGAAGAAATCAACTTTTAGGGGTGTCCTGAATCTGTTCGATTTTCCGACCGTCGCGTCGCCGCCAGCATTGCCGATATGGATATCTCTAATCCAGCCTCTCCTCCGGCGTAAGGATCCAGCTAGGCAAACACAAAGCCGCAGTCACCGTGGCAAAAACTAGATCATTAGCGAATGTCCGCACAGGGAGAGATATACTCACCTGGAATGAACTGATATCCGTACTGCAGACTCGATCGGACAACCGCCTGCATACCCTCCGGCAGCGTATCGACATAGCGTGCGTCACTCAGAACCTGGCGGGCAATCTACTTCTGTTAGACTGCGACAAATCACTACACTGCACAACATACTTCCGGAGTCCTCTGCCCAAACTTTCCGGCAATATCCCGCATAAATCCCATCCGCACCAGCAACGGTGCGATGGATCCGCCAAGAATTACCCCCAACTGTTGGCTGAGATAGTATGCCCCTACACACGAGGCCATGTCTTCCGCTGGAGCACGGCCGGTCATGCCAATAAATTCGCCTGATATTATTATGCCGATGGGTGTACTCATCGGAATTACAAGGAGCGTTTCCCAAACGGGGCGGTCGAAATGCCACGAGAAGAATAGCAGCGTGGATGCAACTAAGCTGATCGCGGCGGAACCGAGGCTCATATTCTTATACCGTTTCGTTCTAAAGAATCAGCATAAGCACCCGGAGAAGTATACTGTGACTGACCGTTTGATGGAGAACCCTGAAATGATCGAGCCCATCGCCAGAGCCATGGTGCTCAGAACGAGGAAGAAGGTTGCCCCTTCCTCCTGCATTTGCCTCACTTGTGTCAGGTATTGCGTGATGGTGGTAGTGACCTTGGCTTGTCAGTATATTGTGCAGCAACAGCATTGTTGCAACCTACTCCGCATCGTCCGCTAAACAACACTACTTGCACCAACCAATACTGTCCGACGCCCTTGGTGACCAGTCGCAACGGTACCAGGGGCTTTGTTGCCCATAGACATTCATGGCAGACAAAAGCCACGGTAGCTAATGCGCACACCCCAAGCAGAGCGTACACTGTGGAGAGCTTTCCGTCAAGTGTTCCAGCTGTCGTCAAAGCTAATAGTAGGGTAAAAACCGCGGCTGCGAAACTGAAAATGCCAAAATAATCCAGACTTCTCAGCTTTTCCATCTTGGATGTCTCCGCGGCGGGAGTGGCTGCCCGAGACTTTGTAGGGAACTGCACCCGCGATAGAAACAGACACAGAACAATAAGAGGTAGCCGACCGGTGAAAGCCCTGTGCTATTAGCCGTATCCAATGAATTTGACGGATTTCCTTACCATCTCCAACCTAGTGAGTTCACTATAACACGCCCCAGCGGAGCTCCGACACCCCTCCCGAGCATGTTCACGACGTTGGTGTAGCTGCGCAGTAATGCGACCTCACTGGGCGCCGCCAGATCTATACACATTAGCTTCCTCGTGAAATGATGGCGGCACAGCGTCGCACCAGTTATAATGATGGAAATCATGACCACCATGCCAGACGATCCCACACCGCTGATAATCCGTCCAGCTATCAATTGGTTCATTGAATTGCTGAGAGAGCTGCTCGAGTCAGCGACATAACGATCGAGTCAGTTAGAGTCCACCGACCTGATCAGGCAGCCAAGAGCGAAGACAAGGTATCCGAGAAGCATCGATCTCTGGCGCCCCAAGGTATCTGCGAGGGTGCCGTACTGCATCCGTCAGAACCGGACACTTTCATTGCCGACTTATCGTACTTACCACCGGCAAGGCAATGCAATAGCCCAAATTGTATCCCGTCACCAGCCATGATGCTTTCGATAGCTCATGGAACTCGGACGCAATGATATCGTAAGTCGCAATGACGAGAGATTCATCTGTGCTGGCCAGGAAGGCACCTATTTGTGTCAGCGATTGCTTAATCCAGGCAGTGGGCAGGAATACCTAGGTATGCGATGAAGATGGCCAGTCCGGTACCCCGAGAAATGCTCCCAGTTGTCTCATTATTCTCCCGATCGGATAAATTCCCGTCTTCGGGACGTGGAAGTAACCGAGTAGTCTCATCAGAAGCCATAAATGTCAACAGTGAATTGGACGTAGACCAGACGAACAATTGAAGTGGGATGAGAAGAAGTAAAGAAATGGAACAGATAAGCCGAGCTTATCAGGCAGCATCAGTCCGAGTGCCTTATCGGCAGCTAGACCTTGATGTGACTCATCAGAAAACATCCTTGTTAAGTAACTGTTGGTTAACGAGGGGAGGTTGTCTATGCTATGCTGGGGAAAGGATTCGACTAAAGGCAGGTTACCCCGCTAGCACGCGATCGGCGATAGGCTTGATGCTATCTCGGCCGACGAGCAGATGTCGATTGTATAAATAGAGGTAGGCTGTTGCCGCCGCTAGTTAGTCTCAGGAAGAGACTAGAAAGCTGTTCCTGGGCTGGATCTTTAGTTATTCATTAGCGTACCATGGCCTAGTCAACCAGGGGAAAGCCATGTGTCGGCTGTCTACCACTATCCTCTGTCCTTAGCGTACTCCTGCTCAAGCATCAGACTAATATATTCCTCGTGGTTCTACAGATTGGACCCTGCATCCTAGTAGATTCCCTGATACCTAACAACGATCTCGAAAGAATCTCCGTTTCTCGTAGACGTCGAATTTGGATCACCCCTGTTATCGAAACAACGTTTGCAGGCATATGCAGGCTCTGTCAATTACTTAATGTGAGTATAAATCTCCTACAGAACCCTACTATCTTGAGGGTGATATTTGTCAACTCTGTGGTGCAGCTTCGGCGAAACAGCTCTTGTGCTATTAACGATCGCAGGTCCTTGAGAAAAAACAAAAGTTCTGGTGGAGCTATACATTCTATTTGCATGTAATATAGAGTTTCTAATCGCCCGTGGTTCCAGCCTTTGAAAGTGGTTACAACTTGGAAGGGTATTGTTCTGGCCTCGGGACTTTGTAATGTCCGAGATCTGGCACCCGCTGTTGGTCAATCTCGGGTTTTACTACAACCCGAAGGTTCTTATATACAGTCTCAGCTCTGCCGTATATCGACTCATGGTCAAAGTCAGTACAGACTATACTTCTCACCATGTCCCGATTACTCGTACATGCTACAAGCATACGAAAACCCTTCTCCCCACTCACTTTCCTCAAACCACGCCACTCCCCTTCATCCCGCACTATCTCCACCATAAGAAAGCCCGCCCCGATAGCAATAGTCGGCGGTGGCCCATGCGGACTAACATTCGCACGCCTCCTCGAGACAGCTGGTATCGACTACGTCGTATTCGAACGCGATACCTCGCCAGAAAACGCCCTGCAATTCCAGGGTGGCACACTCGACCTCCACGGGGACACAGGCCAAGAAGCACTGCGGCGCGCAGGCCTAATTGAAGAGTTCGAGAAGCTGGCCCGTCGAGATGCAACGACTGTGATAGTGCAAGATTTCCGTGGCAATTTGCGCAAGAGATTTGGTGAAGGTCGCGATGCCCCTGAAATTGACCGCTTGCAGCTGCGACAGTTGCTGCTGAAATCGTTACCGGCGCATCGCATCCGCTGGGCCAGTGCACTCCAGGGGGTGGAACGGACCGGTAAGATCGGTCATGGGCATGGCGCAGACTGCACACTGCAATTTGCCGACGGTTCAACGGAAAGTGGCTTCAGACTAGTTGTTGGCGCTGACGGTGCGTGGAGTAGGGTCCGTCCACTGGTATGTAGCCTTCCATCCCCTGTCTTCATCACATCAACTGACATATCATACTAGATAACTCCCGCACAACCACAATACACTGGAAGGATGTTCATCGAAGGTCGCATATCACCAGGCAACCCACAGTACGCAGCAGCACATGAAATGGTAGGCGCTGGCAACTCTCTCTCCATGACCCGGAGTTGCACCCTGTGCATACAACAGATGTCCGACCGCTCCTACCGCGTCTACATGGGTCTTGAAGTCCCGTCTACATTTACTAAACCTGGAGGCGAAGCCGACATAACCAACCCCGAGAAAGCGCGCGCCGCAGTACTGAAGTATTACGCTGACTGGGCGCCGCACCTCCGTGCCTTCGCCGAAGCAGCAGAGGGTCCCTGGCGTCCGTGGCCACTGCACCGAGTTGACCCGGACATTCTCCTCGACGGAAGTCCGAACTGGACGCGAGTCCCTGGAGTCACGCTGCTCGGAGACGCAGCGCACCTGGCGACGCCGAATGGCGACGGGGTCAATATTGCCATGTATGATGCGTTGGTATTGTTCGACGCCCTCGTGGCTGAGCTGAAGAAGAAAAAGAGCAATGCTCAACAGGAACATGAAGACGCAGAAGCTATAGAACGCGCTATTGCTACCTACGAAGCGGACATGCGTGCCCGCGGACGAGCGCATATTGTGGACTCGATAGAGGTCGAGGATATGATGTTTGCGGAGGATGGAGCGGCGCGTATGCATGCGATGATTAACCAGGTTGAGGCCCACACATAGGCTCGCCTACACCTTATGATAATCACTGGATAGTACATAGACATAGCCATATAGCCATATACTTTAATTCAACTATGCAAAGCTTCGCAATACCAAACCCGTCGATTCCTGCCCCGCACACCCGATATAGTAAAGTAAGCAACCTACTAACCGTACCCCACTAAGAGCCAATATTCCTCGGGAATATTCTCCTTTCTTCATCCCCACCCCCCTCATTCCCCTCACCACACACCATCATCACCACATCACATCCCTCTTCCAACCAACTACATCCATCACCTCAAAGCAACCTCTTAGTCTCAAGAAAAACCACCAAAATGACCACAGACGGATATACCACCCTATCAGAAACAATAACAACCTACTTCACCTCCATCGACGCCGGCGACCTCCCGACCACCATGTCGCTCTTCTCCCCCACCGCAACCTTCACCGTGGTCACGGCAGGCAACGTAACCTTCACAGGCCGGGATGCTATCCAGGCCATGCTGGATGACTTCATCACCCAGTCTACCTCAATGGAGCACCGGGTGATGAGCATGATTGTTGATGAGAAGGCGGGGAAAGTCGCCACGCAGCAGCGGTATATTGGGATTCCGGAGGATGGGATGCAGAGAGATATGCTTAATTGTAATTTCTTTGATGTGGACGATGAGGGGAGGATTGAGAAGGTCGTGGTTTGGATGGGTGGGGGGAGTCCGTTGGGGTAGATTGTTTTGGTTGGTGGTGTTTGCTGCGAAGATTAATTAAATCTAATCGTTGGTTACTGAAGGGTAATGCCTGGGCTGGATGGGAAGCGAGAGGAAATTGCTTAAGATATTGTAAACTACCTACTACGAAGTTGAAGGATCAAGGGACTGTAGTAGCTATCGCTTTGATCAGGCCGTGGACGCCCCACAGAAGATGATTCGCTGATCGTGTCTACTGATTTCTAATAGTTGGCGCCTCTGTGCAACAATGGACTGCGTTCTCGCTCGGCTGGGAAAGCAGGGTACACTTTGAACTGCGGAGTCGGCACGGATCTCGCGGGAGGATGCGTTCTTAATAGTGCATCGCAGCTGCATACTATACGATCCACTAGTTGTACTTTGTCCGACGTGTGATGAGACCTGCACCTGGAAAGCAGTGGAAGAAGAAGAAAGTATAATTCAGCCCTACCAAATATGTAACATATGCTGGTCATAGAAGCCCTTTTGTGGTCTAAGCGTCTTGAAGGGACTGGACTGTATCTCCACCCTTGCTAGTTGTGCAGTGTCAGTACATAACCATTGACTTACCATTAGTGGATTTCGATGTGGTAAGTCAAGTAAGAGTAATTGCGATCATATATGACTGCTCATCGCGCGACAGAGCAAGCGGCGTATTGGCAGAAGCGTCCCATTATGTTTATTCACACTGTTTCAAGGGCAGAATCTTGGTATTTGTCAAGGTTACCCAGCTTGGTAGCTTGCGATGCATGTCCATTTCCCTTTCTCAAAAGTGAGGCGGGTGGCGGGTTCGCACTGGAATCGTTAGAGAAAAGAATTTAGAGGCGCTTTAAACAAATCCGGTTGTACGGCGATTGATATTAGCTCCTTTTCAATAATGCCCCTCAGGGAACATGTTATGCTATCAGATAATCAATAGTTCGTAAAAATTTCATTCGATAGTGAGAATGTACACGCTAACATCCACTCCGATAAGTTTCATAATCTGGCTCAACCCGATCGTACATGTTGCAGTGATGACTATCGTTCTCCGATCCCTGAATAAAACCGAGCAATATATCCTATATACTGAGATAGGGATGCATCTGCTTTCTCAATTTTATAGCAGCGGACCCCAAACAAGGGGATCGGTTCTATCGGACGACCCCATCAGAGCACTTTTAACTTATTCACCCATCTCGATTCCGCCATGGGCGGTGCAGCTTAGCAGGTTGTGAGCGAAAAGCGCATGGATGAGGTGGGGATTACACTGGGACATGTGAGCGGGAATCTGCTGGTTGGAGCGACATTCAATATACAGGGGGCACTGAGATTCACAACGGTTTTTCACAAGACAAGGGGGTTGTTGGAAAGGAAGGTCTTTGTGAGGGTTGATTGGAGGATATGATTGATGACTAGTACTTATTATCAGCAGGTGGCTAATTTTAATTTGGCCCAGGCCTCGAATAAGTGACGGCCCTCTAGTACGGTAGTAGTTATAGTACTCTAGTTAGTCAGTGGCCAACACCCATTCGAACATGGGCAGGTGAGTTGCCTAATACATCCTGAACCAAAAGCCACACTGGCGGAAATTCATGAGCTATTTTCGGTGAAATAGTTACATACCTTGAAAACCACGCTCTTTTCACAAAGTTTGAGGTACCTGGGCCAGCGTATTCACAACTTCCCGTGGCATGTACTTCTGAAATGGTGGGAGAAAATCGTTAATGTCACAAAATGGGATGTAAAATAGGCCGGCTGTTATTCGGGATTGGAAAATCCACCAAAAGATCTAGTAAGTAGTAAGGGTAAAAGCCTCCAAAAACCGGAGGAACAGGGACAGAGACGATGTGATAGTATGTAGGAAAATAAGGGAAGGTCACATAGACAACTCAGGTAGCGGGGAATCTTCGTGGTGTCTGGTTACATTCAGTTAATGCCTCAGGAACAAAGCATAGCACACCTGCACGTGTTAGGATGCCCCATCTTCTCTGGATATTACCGGAGAATGCGAAGCTCGGGGTGCTTGGTGGCGGGGGGGGGGGCGGGTAAACCCATGGGTACCCAAGAAAAATGGTCATGTGATCAGCTGACTCCACGATCAATAAACGGCACACCCGCAGAAGCTCAGGGGTCTTCATCTGTCGAGTTTTGAAGCCATCATGACCAGTCAAGGAGAACGGGTGCGGCTCATGCAATCAAAGATTCCTACCTCTCCTAGCTTTGTTGACAAAGAATCATCGTTTTTCCGAAAATGGGATCGATTACCTTCACCAGACGAAGTGCAGGCACGCGCTAAGGAAACCCATTCGATAGAGGCCCCTTATGCGCGACCGCCATCCGTAATTTTCGAAGAGATGGGCCTATACGTTAAATGGGGAAGCTCTGTCCAACTATCCGAAGCTCGGTGCCTATATGCTATCCGTCAGCTACCCGGGGACGATCTTCCTGTCCCTGAAGTGTATGGTTGGCTCACCGAAGGGGATCTGAAATACATTTATATGGAGTATGTAAATGGACTATCCCTTGAGAAAGCCTGGCCGATGATGGGAGACGAGGACAAATCTGGCATATGTTGCGAGATCAGGAGAAGTCTTCACGCCTTGCGACAGGTTGAACAGGATCCAGATGACTCCTTCGTAGGTATGTATGGACATACCATGTACACTCTGGCTAACTGATTCGTGTTGGCTAATTCTTCCATAGGCAACATTACCAAAGGTCCGCTTTACGACAGGGCATTTCACGTGAATTATATGCATGAAGCAGGCCCTTTCGCTACAGTTCGCGACTTTCATGACTGGTTCACATTTCTCTACCGAAGGCCCATGCCAGATCCATACTCGGTTCCTGTTGAACCATTCCGCCATGACCTCCCAGACGACTGTGCAATCAAATTTACTCATGGTGATCTCCATCGCAGTAATATTATTATTACATCCACGCCTCCATACCGTCTTCTGGCGATCGTCGACTGGGAGCAGTCTGGTTGGCTTCCTGAGTACTGGGAGGCTCGCAAAGCACAATATACCGCTGATAGGGCTGAACCGTGGTCCACCACCTACCTGCCCATGATTTTGGACCAGTTTGCTAGTACTTGGGAGACATGGGACTACTACACTTCCGCAATGGGCTGTTGAGTCGTTACACTGATACTCGGATGTTCCTTCGGCTGGTCGTCTCTGATGGCTACTTGAGAGGCTTTTAGTCTGCCGCTAGAAAATGGAAGATTATTCGATAACATCCGAAGAAGTCAAGTCAAATTGATCTGTTACATAACATAAAGTAATCTCCCGCATACGGAACAGGTACGCCCCACCAAGTCCTTCTGTCAACAGTTGTCATCAGCACCACTCAAACGATCCAAGTAACACGGAAGCTCAATGCGAGGCTGTGATCACAGCCGTCGCGGGGCGCTTTGAAGAACGGAAGCGGCGCTGCTCTCAAGCAAGCCTTCGGCAATGAGTCTCTCGACATAGTTTGCTATCCAATTCTGGCAATTGGGTGCCTATAGCTGTTTATCAGTATGCAAGGCCTTTACAATGGTGACGCTCGCTTACCGATGGATCAAAGGGATTAGGGCTTCGCCCCGGAGGCGGCACAATTGTCGCGACTGACTCCAGTCGATCACGAGCCGTTGTATCAGCAGACTCGTGTCCGTTGCCAACAGTATCGGTGATATATTTGGCATTGACTTTGGCCAGCGGAATGATTTGGTGACTCCGCTTAGTGGCACCGACGTTGTAATTCCGCTTGAACTCAAGGAAGAATCCTGTGGCGGTAGTTCCGGTCACATGGATAAGCTTTCCCTTTTCGCTTGTTTCACCGGTGGGGATGAAGACAGCATAGTGAGCTGGCTTGCCTGTATTCGAGAATACCGCCAACTAAACAGTGCGAGACATCAAGGGCAGAACTGGTTGAAAATCTGGGATATATCGGATGATAGTAATAAGTATGGAAAAGGCTGGGCTTTGGATAGTGATAGAAGGTGCTAGCTGGTCAGAGTTTTTAGCAAGTGAGGAAAAGTCTCAAAGAATGAAAATACTGGTGTTTGGGATTTGGATGTAGACTCCTCGCGGGCGATGGTCATATTTATGTCCTTCCTGTCTCTAGGAGAAATTGGAATTGCATAATTTTGGCGTCCGCAGTATTCCTGGCGCGTAGTGGTGTTTCGTGTGAAGCCCCAGGAGAGGGTGACTAGCATGCATTATCACGTAAATGAGGTCAAATGAAACGTCAACACTGGAGAATTTTGGATGAATGGCCAATATCCTCTTGGCTGTAGCCGCAGCTCCTGGAGGATTCAGATCCTGTGGGCGCCTCTCGACTAGTCCCTTCGCCAATGTACGTAATGAGGATATAATGGCGCCTATTCCCAGGATCCGGCCTGATAATTGGATGCACGAAGGTCTGGATCTAATCCCCTCGGGCATGTTCTGGCAAACCATCTCATATTACCGCAGAGCCCATCAAGGGCTGATGTCTCACGGGTCAATGGAGTATAGCTATTGGCGAGGGCAGTACTCAGCCAAAACGGTACAGCGCTAAGCGTTAGCTTTCGGTAGGTGTTCCACACCAAATGGAACGTCCAATGGCTTTGGCATATGTAAAGAAATTAATCCCTCATAGCAAAGGGGATGGTAGTAAGTCAAGCAAGGAAGCATGTAAATTAAGGAACAAAGGATGGAAGTTTGGAGTGAGAGGGTGGTCGGGGTTACTGAAGTTCGATTCAGACGGAGACGGTAAAGGTTCAGAGATCTGCCTGAGGTTAAGTTTGAGAGCATGGAGAGGAATTGGAAGATAAAAAAAGGAATATCCATCAGAAAGGGAAGGTCTTTCAAGATATTATAAATGTGACGGCGAGTGGCGTCTCAGGGTCACGTGACTTCTGTTTGTTTGCTTTGTTTGCCTGCCTTACATGGCTTGCTTATCTTTATATAATTATATATTCTTCCTGAGCTTCTTCCTTTCTTTCTTTATACTAGAAATTCTTGTTAAATAATACTAAATTTAATTATTTAATCAGCTTTTATATAATTTCTAGTATTATTTTATTATTTATTCTTTAAATTAATATTATATATTACTAGCTATTTAATTTAACAGCTAGTATTATTTTTTATATATATTTAGTAATATTAAATATAGTTAAGATAGAATAATCTAATTAAAACTTAAACTAAAATAATTAGTAAGAATATTTATAATAACTAAAAAAAATTATATTAAATTAATATTAAGTACTGTAAATTCTTGATAATATCTAATAACTTTACTAAGAAGAGAGCCTGATAATAAAAAAAATATTATTTATAATTAATTTTATAAATTATATATAAAGAATTCTAATAAAATCTTTAATATAATCCTCTGTATTATAAAAGAAATAGAAATAAAGATATATAAAATTATTTATTAATAAAATAAGCTTAATAATAATTATAATAAATTAATATATAAATATAATTTATATATTATTTAGTTTTTTTAATTTAATAATTAGAGTAGCCGAGTAGCTGAGATCTCTAAATCTAAAAAATTAATAAAAATCTTTAATTTATTTTTATTTAGTAATAGTAAGATTATTAGTTTTAAAGATTAGCTTTTTATAATATAATAAAAGCTGGAAGTTAATATAAATTATTTAAATATAATTATTATTTAATAAACTTATATAATCAGCTGCTGTAAAGATAATACTAGAAAATATTTAATTTTTTAATTTTATTTTAATATTTTAAATTTCTATGCAGACACAACCAATATATTTAAATATTTAAAAGTTATTTATATTAATTTAAATAAGTCTTATAATATATACTGATAATATTAAAAATTTAAGATAATAATTAATAATAAATTTTATAATTTTATATTTATATTCTGCTATCTCGCTGTAGAGGTAAATATTATTAAAATTTATTAAAAAAAAGATTTTTATTAATATTTTCTATTTAAATTACAGGAACTGACCATGTCTTATTTTAATAATAATAATATAATATTTAAGTAATATATTAAGAAGTATATCTAATTATTAGATTTAATTAATAATATAATAAAGTATTATAGTAAGATAAGTATTTTAAGTTATTAGCTATTTATATTAATTATTATTATTATTATAATTATAATTTTTTTTATTTTAGTTAAAATTTTTTATAATATTAGTTACACTACTAGTATAAAGCTAAAAAAATATATTTATATAATAATTAAAGGATACTGCTTTATCTACTAGAAATAAAAATATTTAATTTAAAATTATTTAAAGAAGAAAATAGATTAAGTTAAGTTATTAAAAATAATAAAAGATAATAATTTAATAAAAAATAATATTTAAAAAAAGTCTTCTTTCTAAATAAAATAAATATTAATATTAATTTATTAGATTTATGAGATCTGCTAGGCTAAAAAAATAAAAATTTTATTATTAAAACTTTAATATTAAATAATAGACTAGTAATATTTATATATATTTTTACTAATATTAGAGCTAATACTTATATTTATATAAATATTATTTTTATTATTTAAATAATCTACTAATTTCAAATTAATATTATTTTTTTTAAAATTAATTATATTATTATAGATTTTAATAGTAAGACCATAGTATTTTTAACTTATATTATTTAATTTATACTTATAGTTAATGGACGCTAGTTCTGTAATATATTATTTTTAATATTTAAATTAAGCTGCTATAATATTATTCTGGAATAAATATAATTTATAAAATAAAAAATCTTATTAAATTATTAATAAAATAAATTAATATAATTTAATAGTCTTTTTTATAAAATAAAATTAAGATTAAATTTTTATAATAAATCTTTTAAAATATTTTATTACAGTATTTAATTAATCAGAGTTATTAATAAGATATTACTTAATAAGATTATAACTTCTAGAGAATAATTAATATTTTATTATAAATATTCTCTTTTAAAATAAAATTTAAAATATTTTAAATCTATTAGAGTACTCTACAGGAGGTCTTAACTAAGATATATTAAAATTTAATAAATTAGAATTTTTAATATTAAATTTCTAGGACTCTTTGAAGTCTCTAAAAAAGAAATATTCTTAAAAAAATTAAAATAATTTTTATTAAAATTATTATTTTCTATAAATATTTTTAAAATTTTAAATTAAAAATATTTATCACATCCCTGAGTATGATTAAGAAGATTATTATAAAAAAAATAAATTTTAATAATAAAATATTTAAACTAACTGACAAAGAGAAGATAAAATAGATTTTTTTTAAATATTATTATAATTTAATAAATATCTTTTTTAAAAAGAAGTTAAATATTTTATCTACTTTCTAATCCTATAATTATTATATTTAATTAGAAAAAAGTAATCTGTTAAAAACAGTCCTCTTTTATAAAATAATTTTAAAAGAATTTAAAGCTACCCGTGATTATATTATTAAGAATTTAAAAAAAGAATTTATTATATTTAATATAGTCTTGTTTGCTTCTTTTATTTTAATAATAAAAAAATTTAAAGAAGAATTATACTTTTATATTAATTATTAAAAATTTAATATTTTAATTCATAAGAATCCTTATTTTATTTCTTTAATTAATAAGATAATAAATTATCTCTGGAATATAAAAATATTTATAAAATTTAATATTTGTTAAGACTTCTACTGTATTTATATAAATTTTAAATCTAAAGATTTAATTATTTTCTGAATTTATTATAATATCTTTAAATATTAAATATTATTATTTAAATTTATAAATAAATTAATAATTTTCTAGTATCTCATTAATAAGGTCTTTATAGATTTTCTGGATAAGTTTATTATAATATATATAGATAATATATTAATCTTTAGTAAAAATAAGATAAAGTATAAGCTTTATATCTATTAGATTCTTGAATATCTTCAGATAGTTAGATTTTAAGTAGTAATCTATAAATATAAGTTCTATATAATAAAAACTAGATTTCTAGAATTTATTATTATTATTATAGATATTCAAGTTGATTCTGTAAAAATTATTATAATTATAAAATAATAATATTTAATTATTATTAAAGAAATCTAATCATTTTTCAGATTTTATAATTTTTATTAATATTTTATAAAAAATTATAGCTAGATTACTAAGTTTATAAATTAGTTTATTTAAAAGAATATCTTATTTATCTAGAACTAGTTTTATAAAATAATTTTTTAAATTTTAAAATAAATCCTGATATCAGCTTCTATATTAGTTTATTATAATTTATTTAGATTTATATATATTAAAACTGATACAGCTAACAGAGTAATTATAAAAGTTTTTTATTAATAGATTAAGAATATATAATATCTTATAATTTATTATTTAAAGATTATATTTTTATCTAAGTATAATTATAATATTTATAATAAGAAAATATTAATTATTATATATATTCTTACAGAATAGAAAGCAGAACTGGAGAATCTATAATAATTTAAAAAATTTATAATTTTTATAAACTACTAAATTCTAGAATATTTTATAATTATTAAAAAATTTAATATTCAGCAGGCCCACTGGGCAGAAATATTATTTTAATATTATTTTATTATTAAATATTAATTAGAAAAAAATAATATACTAGCAGATTATTTTATACAGAAGAAAACTGACTTAGAAATAATTAATAATTATTATTATTAAATACTGCTAAAGCCTAAGTCTTTAAAATTTAATATAATTTTTAATCTAGTACTAGTAGTTCCTGTAAAATAAAATCTTTATATTATAAATTATATTTTAAAAATAAATTATATTTATTTTTTCTTAGAAAATCTCTAGAAGTAAGCTTATTAATAAAAAATTAATTATTTTCTGTAAGATAAGCTGCTCTTATATTAAAATAAATTAATTATTTTTAATAAAAATAATTTATAAGTTTAGCTATTAAATAAGATTTATTAATAATTATTACTAGCTTATTCTAGATAAATAAAAATAATAATATTAATTAAATATTAATATTTCTAAAGCACTTGGAACAGAGATATCTGATATTATATAAATAATTATTTAATTTATAAAAAAAAATATATATATTAAGATTTATTATTTAAAT